TTCCTATAAGTCTTCCTACCAATATGACCAAGTTGCGAAAACAAGGTCAAACAACTTCTATAAGTAATTCTTACTCAACTTTCTATCACCGTTCCTCACATTCAATTTATTTCCGAAGCCATTAAATTCACTAGCCTCTTTTATCTTTCTTTTAACCGCAAATGTACCATAATCAACGAACCTACTAGTTTGAGACCATTCTATTCCATGTCCAGTTTCTACCGTGTTCGGCCATGTTTGACCTTTGGATCCAGCCTCATTTATAAGCATTTTTGTGTTCTCCCAAGATTTGTCGAATAGGTCGGCATAACATCGACGACATGAACAAACAATCTCGTAGCAGCCGGATCTCGATAATGGGTCGTATTTCTCTCTAAAAGATCGACTGCGTCAACATGAATATCGTATAAAAGCCAAACGGCTGCAGTTTAACGAGATTTATCCATCCTCATCTGGTGAGATCAGCCAACGAATCTCTTCTTCATTCACTTTCATACGAATTGAAAGTCCCCCTTACAATGTTATCTCAAGACATTCATCGAAACCCAGTTTCTTATCTTATCTACATTGTCTGCAATAATTTCATGTAAATTATGTCAAATTATAAAATGATAGATAAGGTTAGTTTTGTGTCGAGATGTTCTTTGACCTCAGTTTAAAGTTTTAAGTGTCATCTTTTTTGTTGTTGTACAAAACAGATAAGAAAGAAGATTGCTATTCCATTTTCGCCAATATCACTAGCAAGGCTCTAGACCTTAAAGCAATGTCTCGTGCAGATTCAGCTTTACATGAACTAATATTAAGTTAAGAAGTCCACTTGCATCTAAACAAAAGTCTACACATTAGTAGTGAGCAAAGGATCACTAATAAAATAGGTTGTTATTGCTAATGGCTGCAAACATCTCATGATATGACCACTAACCTTTCCTATTAATTGGTACTTTTTCTGGGCTGCATACACCCAATATGACCTTGCCATCCTCCAGCTCGTTTTGATTGTGTTGTTTTCTCCACAGTTGAATACCAGCTTTGTGCAATGATTCTTTATTTTGTAAGGAGCCTCGGAGTTGTTCATTGAGCGTATCCGCCAGAATGTTGACAGAAGTGGTCGTTTTACCCTCTTCCTCTTCTTCATCCTCTTCTTCATCTTCCTCCTCTTCTTCCTCGTCCTCTTCCTCCTCCTCATCATCCTCCTCCTCCTCTTCCCCATCGTGCAGTCTCGCCTCAAAGTCAACTATCCTGTCAACGTCTGCCGTCGAGAAGCAGGCTTGTGACGAAGTTAGACCTCTGGAGCTTGAGGTGGGTAGAAACCTCACGCTGCTGTTAATCCGGGTCGGGTTTTGCCTAACATCCACTCCAAAATGAATTGGCTTTCGTGAAAAGAGACTGGGCGCTTTTGGGCGAAGCAGACTGTGTTCTTTTTGTCGGTAGTGTTTGTGTTGTCGCCAACTGGCCGTCAATTTTCTCGGGTTGATAGGACTACCGGAAGCCAGTTGGCTGGCTTTCAGTTTGATTGCCCCATTCCTTTTGACTTTATCTCTGTCAGTGGTTTTGGTATTTACCATACGACTAGTACCATTCCAGTTGTTTGCTTTCTTTCCTTCATCCATTCTGAAGTCATCTTCTCGAGCTGGTCGGTGGCCGGAACGCTTAGTCTTTGTAGCCGAAGGACTGGTATCGGGGCTGGGATTTGCAAGAGTGCCAGCTTGAGCTGCCGGTGGGCTGGGGGTGGCTGTGAGCACAGCAGTCGTAGAAGAGATGGTTTGCTTCGCTGTTGAGGCGTAGGGGTATGCGGTGGCGAAGACTTCACCTTGCAGATGCTGGTGCAGCAATGCAGCAGCCGCCTCTGCCCGTCTGTCTGTTTCATTCAGACAAGAATCAGCTGAAGACATGTTTGTAGTTACTGTGGCGATCTTCGGTGAATTGAATGCCTCTAGGGAGGTCGAGATTATGGAGGAAAGAGGGGCTGGACTCGAGGAGTTGGTTCCAGAAGAAAGAATCTTTACCATAATTGGGAGAGCAAGAGACCCAAAAAATGTCATCTGTCAAGTTTTTTGGAGAGACAAGTTGAAACATAATTTCATTTCTAATCAACACTCATTGGTACCTTTTGAGTTTGATTTGTCAATAGAGAATATTATCTGAATAAGGTGGGTCTTCATAGATTTGTGAATTTATAAATGTCACCCACAAGGATAGCATTTCAATTCATGGTCTTGATACAGTAGACCTATTAAACGATCAGAAGTTTATCGGTGCATCCCTACTTTTCGTGCCATTGGAGTTGACATAAATTTAGCAATGCCTTAAAAGGTACCGGTATCTATTAGATAATTTTTTTCAGAACTATACAGACTATAAATGACCATATCTTTAAGAACTTAGCTGGTCCTTGTCAGGACTAAGTCGCGCAGGCATGAACTTCACACTTAGTTACGGGTAACATATAAATGCACATGATAAAAGCGCGAAATATTGAATAATAATAATAAATTTTTCGCCTAGGTCGCAAACAATATGCGAAATTCCGAAAAGCAATTTGATGATGTTTAATTTATGCTATAAAAATAGCTAACAAGAGATTATCTGAAGTGGAAGATTATAAACTCAATGAAATTCTATGGAGACTGAAGTAAATTAAGCATCTTTTTACTCAAAATTAGTATAAAAAGGCCCTTACCACTCATAAAAAGACTCTTAAAACTCGGAAATTTTCATAGAATTATTGGACTTATTTGACTCTTTTATCTGTAAGGCCTTTCACCATTGATTTCATTCGATTTCGACTAGATAGCTTCAGCTCATCTTATATAGAGTACCACAACCTTGTTGGTTGCGCGAAATGAGGAAGTATTTCAATTTTATAAGGGTTACAAATGTATTCTTCGGTTTGGAAACACACTAGCATTCAAGATGCAAAGAAAGTGTGGCTCATATAGGCTAAGCAATCTATTATACTCACTTAATTTAAGTAATTTAGCATTTTATTTAGACTTAGGATTATGAAAGAGGTCTAAGGCACGTACAGAGATCGGGATTGAGGGTATTTTAAAAACAAAAATATTGCCACACAATATTGTAACAGAGGAGATTAGGCTGTTTTTCATATATATAGAGGATAATATTTTCCGAAAATATCCTTACTTCTTGAATAAGAACTTGGAGACAAAATTATTGTTCAAGAATAATTGATATTTTATGACCCTACTCATAATAAGTAAAAGTAAAGTCTCCTATTTTAATGGCAATTGCATGTTTCCCGTGAGTTGAGGGAAACCTGGCTTGACTTAAATGTCGTATATTCTCCATGGCTGAGTAAAGGGTGTTAGCGTGTTTCAACGATTCACTTGACCCGGTTTCGAATACCATTTTCTTATCCATTAGAGTAGAAAGCGAGGTCGAAACTGCAATCTATCCAATGACATCCTGAGACCATTGTGGGATACCTTTAGTATCAGTCCTTAAATTAATCTAATCTGGTTCTTGCACCTGCACAAGTGTAACACGCAAACCAATACATTTCAGCAGGCAAAAATTGCCTATCGAAAATGTCATAGATTTATATGATTTGTAGAGTAAAATATAATATGAGATGTATTCACCCTATTTGGTATTAGAATTTTCCCACAATGATATGAGTTGCGCTGACGTTTTCATTGAATTTCACATAGCCTTCCTTTCACAAAAGTTGTTCACATCCAGAAGTGGAATGCAGTTTCTACTACCAGTCCTTCGTCATCTTAGACGAAATAGAGTGAATAGATCTCATATTACTTATTTACTGTTAGTCTCGAAACTCTACTCTAATACGAAAATAAAATATAATAGCTATCGGAGTGATACAGTTTAAAAAGTAAAACTCTCGGAAAAGCATAACACCGATTTTTAAAATACAATTTAAGGATCGTTATTTATACACTGTCTTGATAATACAGTAAATACATCCCTTTGCAAGGATTACCAGAATGGAAGTCACCGCACTTGATAAATTGATCTAATGGATGAATAATTTTATAAAAGTACAGTATAGTACTTAGCAATTTGAACTATTTTTGGTTCTATGCGGCAGATTAGAATAAATGCTTTTAATCAGGCCTATAATTGCAGCTGATTTGGCCGTGATGTTGATTTAAGGAATGAACTAATGGACACCTGGTAAGCCAATAATAATTGGCTGTCGGTTTCGTAAATTGGAATCAAATTTGAGGAGTTTAGTTGTGCTATTCTTCAGCTATAACGATTTTCCTGATGTTTATTCTGATAGGTTGTGAAAGTAAACAAGTTCAATTTCATAAACAGAGAGCATACTGAAAAGTTGGCTACATAAAGCTTTTACTATATTATTTAATAAAAAAATATTCAGGCAAATCTATTTCACATATGCTTAGCGAGTGTTGGCCTTTTCACAACAAATTACATCGACCAAGTAAAATGCTAGAAATGTCATGAGTTAAGCTAAAATAGAGAAATCATGTATTGTTTTTTTGACGAAAGTTAAGTAAAACATGTAAAACATTTCAAGGCCGAATCAGTGAAGCCTCATGGAGTGACCTACTTTGCAGTTCAGTAAAGGCATAGCATATGCCCTCTCCTGGATTCGCTTGTTTTTAATCAAAATTCTGTACATAAGCTGTTCAGGGCTGGGAAGATGAGGATCCTCACCCAGATCAGAGGAAAATAGATGAGTTCTAACCAGGCGGTCCCCGAAGATCTCCTGCAAAATGAAAGAATAAAATGGATACAGATCCAAATAGGCAAATGTAGCTTTTTAAGATCGAGATGGTGCGAAAAAGGATCCATTAAAATTCACAATTATTTAACATAGGAAAAGCTGAAATACTGTCATTATCTGACATGGAGGGTTTTGTCTACAAAAATGAAGTACTGTGAACGGATAAATCGAAAAAATTCCAAGTTAATCTGTATGAATAGCTGTTTGTTTGTGATTGCCATTTAAAAAACTCTTCTACTCATTTAGGATTGAAGGTGAGCTGATCAAGCAGTTGTTATGGCTGACGTTGCTTGGCTAGAAAAAGATATGAGATGTATTCACCCAATTTCGTTTAAGGTGATGAAGGACTGATAGAAGAAGAATTTTCCCACAATGATATGAGTTGGGCTGCCGTTTCCATTGAATATCACATAGTCTTGCTTTCCCAAAAGTTGTTCTCATCCCGACTGGAGTGGAATACAGTTTCGACCTCGCATCGGTCTTATCAATCACCCTCAGTGGGAGTCGAATCGCGACAGTGCAGGATGGGAGTTTGATACGCTAACCACTCGGCTACACTGCCACGAGCGCAAATGTGAATTTTCAAAGAAGGCCAGGCCTTTTCGCCATATCATATTCTTTGGTGAAATTGTCGATATTTGCTATAAAAATCGACTACTATACTTTATTTTTCGCATTAAGTAGTCTCGAAACAATGCTTAATAGAAAAAGATAGATATCAATTTTATCAAGGTACAAGTTAGGTAGTTTTTTCTTAAATAAGCTAAAATAATGGAGAACCGTTTGTGCTTGAATACAACAAAATACAATTTAAACATATTTAAATATTAGAGCGTTAATTGCTGAGAATATTTATATGTGAAATGCCCATGCTGAACAGAAATAAAGTTTAATTTTACTGGCGAATTTACAAGTAGGCTGAGTGGGACTCGATACAGTTTCAACGATGTCAAGCTTTTCATTTGGGAATTTCCTGGCCAACCATATTTATTTGTTAGAGATCCAACCTAAATGAACTCCAAAGCATATCACTTTTACAGAAAGGCAACTTCTGCAAATGTACGGAACAAAATAAGATACAATCCCACTTGTTCATATGGAAAGAGTAACAACTAACTATTTTTTGGTCAGAATGTGCATTTTTCTTGAAGGTCACATCTGGCCTGTGGCCCACTGGCAGCTGTGTCTGCGTAGGCGACTGATAACTGCAAGAAGGTATAAACGACTCGTTATCGAAACTCATTAGGGGTGCTGATGAAAGGAGTTTAGGCAAGGTCAAAACGGCAGTCAATTACAGCCAGGGTAAGAATATGTTTTGTAAATATTTTAGTGGAAGGATTATGCAGAATCACAAGCTAGCGGGAAAATTCATCT